TCGTTGGACAAAGGGGTCAAGCGCGGAGAAGACAGCATGCAAGGCCTTGTTAATCGACTGCTCAAGCGCGTTGCTGAACCGGCAGGTGTCACGGCAGAGCTCACCTCCCATTCCTTCCGCCGCGGTGGTGCACAGCAAGCGAACGGCGACGCCCGACTTGCAGCGCAATGGATCTTTGACCGAGGAGCTTGGAATATGACGAAGACCAACAAGGCCTTCGCCTACATCACGAACACGGCGCGGGAGGACAGAAAGGTCGCTCGGGTCTTGAGTGGATGGGGGCGCTGATGCGTCGCCCAAGGTGATCGACGTTAGCTCTCAGGACCACACAACACGCGAGTGGCTTGCATGCTTGCAGGGGCTGTTATTTTCAAGCTGCACAGGTCTCAAAGAGAGCCGACTAAACATGAGCGCAAAGGTTCTAAGCGTACTTACCGCTTACCTTGTTCGACACTTTACCCAGCTCAAGGCTCTTTCCACGGCAGCACCCATTATCGAGCGCATCGAAGAATGCATGAAGACAGCTGAGATCTCGACAGCTGACCTACTTAAGTGGTCCTTGCGCTCAATGAAGAGGCCGCCGTGCCTTCTCAAGAGCAAGAAAAAACGCAAGATACACCACACACATGCCCTGAAACGGGTCACCTTTTGGCAGTTATTCAAGCGCTTGTTGCGTCAAACCGCCTCTTAGCTGAGCGGATAACCATTGTCTAGGCAGCGCTACTCAAGCCCAAGGGATCCTGTGAACAAGAAGCCAGACACCAACACAGCCAAGAAACGTCAGACCAAGAACCAAAGCTTAAGCGCAGAAAAAGCAAGCAACAAACCTGTCAGCCACTTGGTTCGAGTGGTACACGAAAGTACCTCCAGAAAAAGTCGGAATCGCGCCATGTGGTGGCCTTCATGAAGCTCTTCATCGTCGGCGACTGGACGCTTGATGTCGAGGCTGAAGGCTACAAGAATCAAGTCCTCGACGCCGGTCACCGGGCTGAGAAGGGCTTGCTTGCCTTCTTGAAGACCGAGAATGTTAACGCGAAAGGATCTGGGAGCGTCCTTCGTGCGCTTCGACCGCTGCACAAAGCTGGCATCCTCGACGGGCGCATCGTGGCGTACAAGCGCCTTCTTGCCATTGGGAGCATCGGCGACCCTGCACCGAACGATACACAAGACATCCTAGCAGTAGCAGGCCATGTTTGAGTCTAGTTAGCTCTTGTTAGTACTGTTAGTACAATACACATCATACAATAGAACAGAGTGCA